CACCTGGACCTACACCTGGTCCTACACCTGCACCTACACCTGGTCCTACACCTGGACCTACACCTGCACCTACACCTGGACCTACACCTACAACTGGACCTACACCTGCACCTACACCTGGACCTACACCTGCACCTACACCTGGATCTACACCTGCACCTACACCTGGATCTACACCTGCACCTACACCTGGACCTACACCTGGACCTACACCTGCACCTACACCTGGACCTACACCTGGACCTACACCTGGACCTGCCATTCTGTGTTCGTTTGTCTCTCCTTCCTGTCCTCTCAAACCAGCCGATCAAAGCAGATGGCCGCTTGTCCTGAGCCTGGTTCTGTTGGAGGTTTCTTCCTTTTTGAAAGGGAGTTTTTCCTTTCCACTGTCTCCTTTGTGCTTGCTCAGGATGGGAGACTGTGACGAAGTGAAGCTTCAACGAGTCTGCTGGCCTCCTTAGATACAGAACTTTACTAATTGGCTTTTATATGTATGAATGTTCTTTTAAAGTGCTCTGAGACAACTTTGTTGTGATTTGGCGCTATATAAATAAACAGAATTGAATTGAATTGAAATAAAACACCTAAATGAATCACAAAGCAGAATTTTCAAAATGCAAGTTTATATGATGGTAAAATTATAATACAGTGCATTAACTAAAATTCATAGATTTTAACCGAAATGTTTTAAATGATTAAGCACCAGCTGTTATTAGCAGCTAGAAATATCAGTTCTTTATTGAAAATCTACAGTCTATCCTCTGTACAATGTGAAAAAAAAAAATCAAACAAAACTGCAACATGACGAGCGATAACACAGCGCATGTGAAAGTATGAAATGTTCCCTATCTAACACAGTCGATTGTATCTGGAGGTGGAATAAAAGCAGCGCCCGAAGAGGCTGAGAGAAGAGCAGAATGTGTCGAGAGAGCAGAAAACGAGAGAAATGGAACTTGAGAGAGGACAACATTAAATATTCATTCCATGTTTAATATTAAAGTGAACTCGTTCAAACTCAACTAATTCAGTTCTAAAATAATTTTGGAGGAACTTATGCAGCCCACGTTCAGATAAGAAGGATTTTCTCATTGTTTGTAGTAGAATTGCAGAGGAAAAAAGCCATAATACACCCAATATATGTATATTCACACAGGTATTTTAAATATTGTGTATTTAATCAATGTTAGGATCTCATAACAGAACCGGAATATTCATAAGTTGTGTGTGACCCATTGTGGGCAGACAGATAGAAATCAACATTTTATTAAAATCTTTTGAAAAGTAGAAATATAAAAGCACAAAAAGACAAAAACTAAATAATTCCAAAGCGAATAAATAAACACTAAAACAACAATTGGCAAAACGCAAGTGAACAAAATATAGTGATGGTACTAACCAAGGGTTAACAGCAACAAAATAAAATGATAATCACAAAACAGAACATGAGAACAGGGAGAAAACTGAACACGACTTAAGAAAAACTGTACAAAACATTTAAACCAAGAAACACGGCACAAAACCTGAAGGAAATTCAAAACTTGTACAAATAAAACACCGATTGTATTAACACAAACACAACACTGACCAGTGTAGTTCACTTAAATTTATTATTCTTATTATTAGTTTCTTGCCAAAGTCCAAAACATCATTACCATGCTATCCTTTATAATTTATATTCTGTACATAGGTGATGAGTTTATAAAAGTGTTTAAACTTTCTACTAGCTTTAAAAATGTACAGAAGCACTGGATAGTTTTGTTTTTGTGCTATTTGCCATTTTCTTTTAAAACGTTCTTGAGCAGAATTTGAAATGTTGAAAAAAACAGTTTCTTGTGTAGAAATCATCTCCAGCTTTTCTTTGTCCACATCAAATTTTAATCACATCATTAAAAAAAAACTCATATCAGTACCACCCCGGGCAACGTCTCAAAATAATTAAATTTTAATTAATTTCATCAACAAAATATATTTATATACAAAATAAAAAGGCACCCTGCAGAGGTGAAAGAATAATTTAAAAAAAATATTCCCTAACTGAAGCTCCAAAAACGGCAGGATACTACTTTGTACACTGTTCTTTGTAATAAGTGAAATTTAGTTTTTGCTCACTTTGTGATTACTTTGGGGTTTTATTTTAATTTGCCGTATTTTACGCCGTACACGTCGCACCGCACTATAAGTCGCATCAATCCAAATGTCTAATAAAGTGGAAAAATCCATAAACTTGTCGCTTCGCCGTATACATCGTATCTATTATGCGTCACCGCTGACGATGTGCCTCAGTTTAACTTTTCCTTAATAAATGCACTTTGACGGTCAATTCAGCTGCATTTCACAAGCCGATACGTGGAAACATGAACGTGCAGAGGGCGACTCACTGTGCATTTCATCGAAATTTAACAAGATATTCACCTAAAACAATTATTTGTTTGCTCACCGTTATAGCAAAGATGTGTTTCAGTTGAACTTTTACTTAATAAATGCACTTTAATGGTTAAATTAGCTGCATTTCGCCGGGGCGGTGCAGCGAAATGAAGCTGATTTGACGGTTGCTCGAGGTGAGCTGGACAACGGTGACAATTTATGGTAAGCCAAGTGTGTCATTAAAAGCCACGTTTACCTATTACATGACACAACGGCATGCCACACTACTTGAGTGCCATCTAGTGGCTGAAAATGGTAGTGTTCAATATTTTTAGTCAGAATGAATGAAAACGGTCATATCTCAGCCAATAATTGATTTAAAAATATGGGAAAAAAATCCATAAATACGTCGCTTCAGCGTATAAGTGCAAAAAGAACGTGATTTACAGGCAAAAAAAAATGATAATTTAATTATTTTTATTGACTAGGTAATTCAAGACTGAAGACATAGAAACAAGAGAACACCACGTAAAAATATACACTTAAGCATTTTACTTTTGACGGTAGCCAAATAACAATATTTAATCAAGGCTTTAAAGAAATGATAAAACAAATATTTAAAACACTGTAAAATTGACCTTTCTTTACCATTTAAAGCAACTTTTGTGCCAAGTGTTATACGATAACTTGTTATAGGTTGAAAAAGGTCAAATTTTAAATTATACCATTCTGCAGAGTCTTAAAGATTGTTAAAACCAGAACTAACAGAACACCGTCTCTAGACCCTGCAGAATATTTAGTAAGACAATAATGTTTGTGTTTCCCACACATGTGAGCATCAAGATCACTTAAATAAATAAATATCAGATAAATAGTGTTAAATTAATATTTTTATAGACGAATGTTCAGTGCCCTGAGATGACTTCTGTTGTGACTTGGTGTTATATAAATGAACTGAATTGAACTGAATTGTACTCCATCAAAAAATTGAAGTTTGAACTATTGCAGTTGACTTTAATGTAACAGAAAATGATAAATCATTGATACATTAAAAACGTTCAGCTATAATTAATCTGCAATCGATGACAGAGCAAAACAAAAAAAAACTAAATATTTTATGTTGCATTTGAAATTAGGTTAAAAAATGTATTAATTATAACTCTGCATAACGTTATGTGATAAAGTAAACAAAAAAACGTGAAAACTAATTGTTTCTTGTGTATTTTACAAAGAAACACTAATCTGCAATGGATAGAAATGTTGGTGCCCTTAAATAGACTATTATTCCTTTAATTTTAGACATGTTTGAGTTTTTCCGCCATAAAGCAAGTGAATTTAGTTTTTTTTTTTTTTGCCATTTTAAAAGGAACAAAAAAAACATTGATCCCAAGTGTGGCACTGAACATGGAGCACAGAAAACTCTGGAGGAGCTCAGAAACAATACAGCTGTCATCTTAAAAGTAATTTCTACACAACCAAATTCAGGTAACTTCATGTTCGTGTTACCACAGTTGCCAATGTTTTATTTGTTGTTTTGTTCTAAATAAAAGGTTTATGGTATTAAAACCATGCTCCCAGATAATGGACGCAAGAAGAAATGCAACTCCAGGTTGATCCAAATGTTAATGCAGGGGAAAAGGAGCCAAGGAAACCCTCTAAAACCATTCAAGCTCAACTCCAACTTCCTGATGGAGTCTCATCATATTGAACTATAATGGGTTCCATGGAAGAGGCCCAGGGGGACTCCACTGTCAGCAGAAAAACACAAATGAACCAGACAGGAACTCGTTATAGTGCATTTTGACAAGAACAGAAGATTCTGGAGTTTTCTGACCAGTCACATCAGTTGTTTGTATCTGATAATTGTAGAAAGGCACCACCATTTTATTTGCATCTGTATGTTGCAGTGGCCATGAGGTGTAAATGAACTAAGTTTGAAAAAACAGAATTACATTTGAAAAAACTGAATTACATTAAGCCGAAGCGGAAGTGGCCAAAGCGGAAGTGGCCAAAGCAGAAGTGGCCAAAGCGGAAGTGGCCGGAAACACGTTTGAAAGAACGGAATTACATTTGAAAAAAATTCAATTAAATTTGAAAAAACAAAATTACATTTGAAAACAATGTAATAAATAAATAACAATTAAGTTAAAAAAGAAACAAACACTAAAAGTAAACTCCACCACTTATGGTTTTCTTAATGTAATTCCGTTTTTTCAAACGTAATTGCATTTTTGTTATTTTTTTATGTGATTCCATTGTTTGTTTGTTTTTTAAATGTGATTCTGGCCACTTCCGCTTTGGCTTAATGTAATTCTGTCTTTTCAATTGTATTTTTTTTTTCAAATGTAATTCTGTTTTTTAAAATGTGATTACGGCCACTTCTGCTTTGACCACTTCCCTGCTTTAGCCACTTCCGCTTTGGGAACTTCCGCGTTGGCCACTTCCGCTTTGGCCTAATTTTATTCTATTTTTTCAAATCTATTTTTTTGTTGTTTTTTCCAAATGTAATTCTGTTTTTGTTTTGTTTTTTAATGTGATTACGGCCACTTCCGCTTTGGCCACTTCCCTGCTTTGGCCACTTTCGCTTTGGCTTAATTTTATTCTGTTTTTTTTTCAAATCGAATTGTTTATTTGGGGGGGGGGGGTCAAATGTAATTCTGTTTTTTTCAAATGTCATTCATTTACACCTCACGGTCACCATAGTTTGTCTTTGGTAGATGCCAGTTATCACCACAGGTTTTAGTTGCGCTTTCAACTGATCTAAAGTCAACAGAGAAAGTGATCTTTTTGCTGGGATACATCTGGGAAACACCTTCACCTCTCTGCCCCTCTTCCTCCTCATAAAGTACCTCATCACCTCCACACCACTAACTGTTGTTCTTGTGAGGGAGGCACTTCTGCCAGGGGCTGCAGGGCAGCGCCAGCAGCAGGAAGAGGATCCCTCCCACGATGAGGACGGCACCCGCACAGCCGAGACACGAGACCGACCACGAGAGCTCGTGGTGGAGAGGAACCGTGTGGTCGCTCGCCAAGAACGCCAGGACCGACTGGTGGAAAACCAGGAGAGACAGCAGCACCAAAACTCCTGCAGACGAAGACGGGGCATTGACAATATAAATAAATAAAACTTGGTTTTAGGCTTCACATCAGCTTGCTGTCTTTACTGACCTGACAGGATGAAGCAGATGGACGCAGGCTTTAGGAAGAACAGGATCTCTTTACTGAGAGACATGGTGATGCAGATGGCTCCCATCACCATCAGGAAGAGGCTGAACAAGGCCAACATTGCTGCTGCCACGTTCAGGTCTGATCGGAAACAGACAACAGTGTTTGTAAGAAATAACCAATCTGACTGAAGTCATCCAGTTGCTGCACCGAGGCCTTTAGCGGGAGAGTGATATGTCACCGTAGAACAATGCAAACGAAAACACGTCTGTCTTTTTGCATTCCGCGTGGCATGGTGTAATCTTACTACATTATGAAGATGCCAGAGAAATAAGAGGTTAGGCGGAGGCACTTGAACGCAGCGTGGGTGGAATACATATTAAATACTCAGACAGCAGACAATAGCCAACCAGAAAGAGTGAGGCGAGGGGGAGATGGGAGGCACAGACAAAAAAAAAAAAAACAACACAGCAGAGAAATAGATTGAGAGCAAATGCAGCAAAAAATAAATTACTTCAAAAACTGTGCAGGTAAAAGAGGAGGTGGTGAGAGGCGAGGAGTGTGTTGGTGGTAAAGTAAGACAACAGCTGACGCTTTAAGAGGTGGGTGACTCACTCTTCTCTGTTGTCTTCTGAAACATGACAGCGTTTTCTCCTGTAGTGAAAAACTTGAAGTAGGTACAGTTTGAATCTACAGGAGGACAAGGACAGAGAAAAAGAAGCAGCTACTGTAATTGAGACAGACGTGATCACTGCCAGGAAAAACATCTGATTGAAATTCAAGGAGCCGCATTCCTCAAATCTCAGTCCCACACAATTTAGCTGTAATTGTTCTCCATCGAGCACAATCAGCCGCGAACATCAATGACAAGCCCAAGGTGGCAATCTGAAGCTTCATGAACAATCTGGATTCTGCTGTCCTGATGATGCGTTACAGCAATTAGAGTTTGGCCGTCAAAGAGAACGTGACACCGCTTTCTGTTCCCTTGCACATTTGCAAACGCGACCAAGCAAACACGCACGCGTCACTCTTAATTAGAGTGATGAAAGCCTCATCCTCAGAGTGTTCTGGTTTGTTTTTCCCTCAGCACAGCAGCCAACAGTTACGATGAAGAGGCTGAACTGAAACTCCAGTGGACACAATTCAAATACGAGGTGTTTGACGACGCAGCTGACACTGGCCAATGAGACAATACTGAGAACTTTCGCTTTAAAAAAATAACTTTTTTCATTATAAATGGGATGTTTCATACACAGTCAAATGTAAATCGCATTTATGTTAAAACTGTATAGTTGATATTTTTGCAAACTTGTGTTATTTCCATTAAAAATAAATCTAGACTGTCATTAATACAAAAAGAAACCCAGTTATCATAAATCAGCCCGGCCCAGCTCTCCATTCAGTCAAAACAGAACAAAGTGCCAAGCTCAGTGTTTGTCACTTATCAGTTTGTGCATACTTGAATATGAAATGATTTAGTAAACTCACTGAAACACACTTAACATCACGTCAAATGTTAATAAATGTTGTTTAAAGTGGTTGTTTGAAGTTAAAGGGCAATGCTCTATAAACTTGATTACTTCCTAATCAGGAAATACACACCTCGACAAAACAGTTATGTGATTGAACATCTGCTGTTTGTCTTCGCATTGTGACTGAAAACTGCTTTTTATTTCACTTTTTTATTTATTTTTTTGAACTTGTCTTGGTTTAAGTGCGACTAATATTTTTAAATTATCTTAAAAAAGGTGAACAAAGGGCTGAAAAATCAAAAACCATTAAAGGAGTTTTGATATCTTTCTAAAAGGAAGTCCAAAATCAAATTTATCCCTAATAAATTAGCAAAGCTCACGAACTTTAAGAAAAAGACACAAGAAAGTCTTTGCCTTTAACTGTTGAGGTTAATTTTGTCTGTTTGTCAGAAAAATCTCATAAAATATTGAACAGAATTTGAATTAAACCTTTGGAAATTGGTCATCTTGTGTAGTTATAAGTGAATACATTCTGAAGCTAGTCTAATTCAAGATGGCCGCATCTACTGAGCACATGAAACATAGATTTTACAGACTCTGAGCTCAGATTCGGTGTGGTAGTAGCTGAGCACCACCCTCGACATACATCAGTCACTCCACAATGCGCACTACTTTTATATATTTTACATAGGCCTGTCGCGATAAACAATAAATCAATTAATCGCATGATAAATGAAAATTATCGACCTCATTTTCATTTATCAGCTTTATCGTTTTTTCGTGTCTCTCTCTTTCTACTGAAGACACTGGATGAGAAAAAGCTCAACTCTGGAGCTCTTCGCTGACCCTTCCCTTTCTCTTTTCTCTTTAAAATCTGTTTTAACCGTCCAAAATTGTGTTTTTGGATCGTTAAAAGCAGCTAAGCTGAGAAGCTAAGCTACGAGCTAAGCTAACAGGCTGACCTCGGGGAAAACACCTCCGTCTTGTCGAAGCTCCAAAATGCACGGTTAAAACCCGTGCCTTCGTGTAAAAAGTTGTTTTTCTCTGCAAAAAGAAGCTGAGAACTTGTTTGCTGATGATTTTATTAAATGCTTTGTGTGAAAAATGCTATGCTAAAGCGCTCAAACCACATCGAGCATCAGCCATTTTGAGAACCGAAAAACAGGAACGAGAGGCAGCCCATGTCATGTCAAGGGGCCTCACTCCCATTTTTCTTAAAGAGACACGCTGCTCGCTCCCTCAAAAGCCATCCTTCAGTTCAGTCTTCTACTGCCATCCAGTGGTCAGATAAAGGTACTACACACAAAATTAACCAAAATTTATTCTTAAAGTTGACAATTACTAATTATTGTCAAATTTCAAACAATATAATCGTTTATCACAATAATTTCAGAGACAATTAATCGCCCAGCAAAATTTGTTATCAGGGCAGGCCTAATTTTACATAAAAATGTCAAGAGCTGTTGGTATCAAGCTATTCATCTTAAAGCAAACTATCTAATAGACTACTGTCCAGTCTGATAGCAATTAATGGACCATTTTCTGAGACTGGACCAACCATTAGAAAGAAATCACTGTCTTTTGTTTTAGAACCGGAGTCAACCTAATCCAAGATGGCCACCACAGCTCAATGGCATTTTCCAGCACAAAAGCAGCTCTAATTTAGTCAGTTGCATCAGCAGTCAAGCCTCTGATTTACTCTGAGCACTAACGCATCTCGCAAAATCTCACAATATTGAACGAGAAAATACACAAGGTCATTTACGAGGTTCAACAAAAATGACTACAACTCTTTTCTTTTAACATAAGATGATCTCAGTTTAAAACTTTGCCAGTGCTAGCGTTAACTTAATATACTGGTGTCATTTAAACACGGTGAAGCACGGTCTTTGTTTACCAATTATACAAAGGAACTGTCTTTTAGGTCAAGTAGAAGAGTTGCCTGAAACACAATAAAAATGATTTGAACGTATTCTCCAACTTCACCAAAAATCAAAATGTGCAGCGTTTTTCTCAGGTTTTGTTACGGTGACTCAGCTGCTTCATCAACCAAACCTTTCAGGATGAATAGTCATCGCCCTGTGAGCCAAGCATCATTTGTCTGGCCAGAAATTCAGGTAGAGCACTCAGACGAGCTTACTCACGCCTTCAAACGAAGCTGGCCAACCAGTTTGACAGTGAGCCACTTGATCTGCCAGTCATCCTTTTACCATTCCTTTCTAAAGCAGACTAGTCAGCCATTACAAAACACATAAGTCGACCAAACTGGACTGTAAATCCTTTGAGTCACCTCCAGGAAGTTCTGCAGGGCCACAGCTCTCGCGTTCTGGGTCGATATCAGCCACCCACAGGGTCCGGATGCAACCTTTCCACAGGCCGTAGTGGGCTGTTAGACAAGTCTGTGCAAGGGAGATGAGAAACGATGATGAGCATGTTTTACTTTAATAAATCAAAGTTGTCAGGGGTTTGAACCACGTCATTTTAATTTATTTAAAATTAAATTACTCTTCAATATGTTTGTTGCTCAGATGCTATTTATGTTGCAGAACACATCCTAAAATTATACACATGGAATCCAAACGGGCTTAAAAACAGTTTGAACTTTACTTTAACAATGGTCTTTATGTGAAAACACACATATGTTTCACCTGGTTGTTATAGAAGTGCTTCGGAGGAGAAAGTTCAGCCCAGAACTCTGTTCCAACACCGAGGACCGTCAGAACTACGCCCACAATGGCCACGAAGAAAGCAAGCTTTATCTAGTCACAAATAAATATGTATTCAATATACACATATTCAGTATTTATTACCTACTAAAAAAAATTTTTTATCAAATATTCAAGTTTGAAGTGCTTCTAACTAAGTATATGTTTAAGTGGCATCGTATGATTGAACATGAGAGCATCTGCACTGTAAAAAATATGTGTCCACATAACTAAATCAACAGTTTGCATTTATTGCCATTACCTCAAATTAAAACTCTTAAATACCTTTGGTACTAAATTCATCTCAGAATTAGTGACCTGGTGTTCTGCTACCTGTTCAGTGAACTCTATGGATGTAATCCTGACGAGCCGATTGTAGTTTTAATCTCACTTTTCTGTTGTTATTGTTGTTTTATTGTTGTTTGTTAGGGTTAGTTGCTATTAGATATTCCCCATTTTGGACATCTGTGATAATTGAATTCATGTACACAAAGATTTAAACCTTTTCTAATTACTTTGTAGGACTGATTAAGAAAGTGTTAGACACATAAATCACCATGCTTATCTCTAAAATAAGATATGTAAAACCTCAAAAAAATATATATTGCAAGTAGCATACTTTTATCAAATTATAATTATAATGAGGTACAATACCAAAATTTCATACCTCACATCAGTAAATAGTTTCTGTTTGTATTTAGGTAATAAATTGCACAAACGTTCATGTTTGAACTCTTCATACACAATCTAAATAACAATGAAAATGCATCTTGTCCATCATTCACAACACAAACACAAAGTCAGCATGGTGTTTGCTGAAGTCAGAATAAGTTCAGTTCAAGTGTGTAGTTCTGTTTCTTGACAGTTTTGCTTATATTCCGATCAACAGATTAAAACGTGAGTTTTTCAACAAACGTCAAAGAAAAAAAATTACATCACATTTTTCTCCTTTAAACATAGAAAACTAGTATTTTGGCAACCATGAAATGAAAAATGTGAACTTCTTTGAAACATGTTCAAAAACTAAACTTTTATGTCTGTGAGTGAATAAGATGCTTAGTTTGCACTGCTGGGTTTCTTTGACGTTGAAAGTTGGAAATCTGATCTCCTAACCCTAACCCTTACCATAACACAGATAACACATGATTCTGCTTTTATGGTTTTAAACTTAGAGAGCCAGTTTGCACATCATTGTGAACCGTTCCAGTATTTTCTGAAAATCATGGCTTGGCAACACCAATAGAACCACATCATCCATAAAAAACAAAGCATTCAGCTTTGAGATGCCCAAACCAGGCACAATGCTACAATGCCATAATTGTCAATGAATCCCACATACAGGATTTGGTGGGGTCCAGGTAATAAAGGAAAGAAATCCACTTTTTGATGGGAATGTGGCCTCTTGCTTTGATTAGGGAAAAACCAGGAAGCCCGAAACAGTGACTCCATCAGCTCATACTCCAGGAGCAGTAGGAAGCACCTTCCTTTCAAGGTCGCCAAAACTTGAAAACTGAACAACCTGATCTCCATGACTGCCTCAACAACTCTGCAAGGGTAAATGTATATTACACTGTTCTACAACCTGTACAAACTCTAAACTGAGGATCTTGGATTTGGTCACGGTCTGTGTTTTACGCTGAACAAAAATATAAACGCAACACCAAAAGTTCATGCTCAATAATCCAGGTATAAAATCCAACAATGTACTGGAATATGCTGTTTGGGGGAATAAGTTTTGTTTGGTGTCTCCTTGGATCAAAGAAGTCCTTTGGATGAAGGAAGAAATGTCTCAGCAAAAAAAGAAAATGTCCAAATGACCTGACTGAACATTGTTGGATAAACGCAACGCTTTTGTTTATGCTCCCATTTTCATGAGCTGAACTCAAAGATCTGACATGTACATAAAAGGCCTTTCTTTCTTAAATGCTGTTCAGTAATGTGTGTAAGCCTGTGTCAATGTGCACTTCTCATTTGCAGAGATGATCCATCCACGTCACAGGTGTGGCATAACAAGATGCTGATTAGACACCATGATTTTTGCACAGAAGTGTCTTAGGCTGACCACAATAAAAGGCCACTCTATAATGTGCAGTTTTATCACAACACAATGCCACATATGTTGTAAGATTTGAGGGAACCTGCAAATGGCATAAACAGGATATGCAGTGTGCTTTCACACATCTCATGTTTATCCCTTCCAGTCCCTTTAGAGTTTTCATTCATGAGTATTTTTTTGATGTCTTGTCATCCCTTTTTTGCCTTTTGTTTAAATTAATTATTTCATATTTGAGCATTTGAGTTTTTGTTTTTTTGCATTTGGGTTTGGATCTTTACCAAACATGACGGAATGCACGGACGAGGGACAAACAAAATGACGGTATTTAAAGAGGCAATAATGACAGATAATGACAAACACCTGGGCAGAGACAATGAGGACCAGGTGAGAGTGGGAGGGACAGGAGCTGAACCGCATGAGGGGAGAAACACTGGGGAAGCTGGAAACACAAGTCAAACACAATCACAGAACACTAAATGACAAAAGACACAGACTGTGACAGGTTCAAGTTTTTTACAATTGTCCAGCGCAAATGCCCTGAAGTAAACTTTTCTTGACAAGTTGTTCGGTTTGATCCCTCTCCATCCATTCATCCATTATCTTCTGCTTGTTCCGAAGTCGGGTCGCGGGGGCAGCATCTTGAGCAGGGAGGTCCAGACATCTCTTTGCACAGTCATCTCTTCCAGGCTCTTCTGGGAGGACTCCAAGGTGTTCCCAGGCCAACCAAGACACATAGACTCTCCAGCGTGTCCAGGGTCTTCCCCGGGGTCTCCTCCCAGTTGAACATGCCCTAAACACCGTCTCCCTAAGGAGGCATCCTTACCAGTTGCCCGAACCACCTCAACTGGCTCCTCTCGATGTAGAGGAGCAGCAGTTCTACTCTGAGTCTCTCCCAGATAACTGAACTTCTCACCCTATCTCTGAGGGAGAGTCCAGCTGCCCTGCGGAGGAAACTCCTTTCAACCGCCTGTATCCACAGTGTCATTCTTTCCGTCACTACCCAGAACTTGTGACCATAGGTAAATGGTAAATGGACTGTACTTATACTGTATAACGCCTTTCTATCTTATCAAGATACTCAAAGAGCTTTACACTACAATCTGTGCCCTCATTTACCCATTCATACACTCTACTATATTTAACAAAGAATAATCAGTGATTTATCACATTCATACACTGATGGGACACACATCGAAGGCAATGAGGGGTTCAGTGTCTTGCCCAGGGACACTTCAGCATGTGACTACTGGTGGAATCAAACCCCCAAGTTTTGTAATGGAGGACAACTGCTCTAACCACTCAGCCACAGCCGCCCGTAGGTGAGGGTAGAAACGTAGACCAACTGGTAAACGGAGAGCTTTGCCTTACAGCTCATCTCCCTCTTCACCTTCTCTACTTATTTCTTGATAAATTGTAGTCAAATTCAGATAGTTGTAGACCACTGTTATATTAATTTTTCTTCATAATTCTCTCAGTATGATTGATTGTTTCAATTCACATTAGGAAAGAATGATGGCTCAAGAGAAAAACTTAGAACAGTTTATAAGTTACCTTTCCCTCCTGAGCTTCACTCATGACATGTCCTGTTGATGTTGTCCTGCGACGTTTGTTCCCGCCAAACGTAGTACGTCCACCCATCAGGCTTGCCAGGCCCCCGGCACCCTGAGCTGGTCCACCTGGTGCAACCCCTCCACCCCCTCCTGCACTTCCTGGGACCACCGTGCGACCATCTTCATCCGTCAGAAAAAAGGTCGACCACATTTCGTATGAAAAAAGACAGCAGCCACAGCGGACAAATCAAACGGGGTTTGGTAACCAAGGGGCAGTTCAGTTTTAAAATGAAACCAACGTGTTGTTTTCTACGTGCAAAACCTTTTCTACAAGGTTAGAAAAATAAGTCTGAAAAATTGAGACAATTTTAAAAGTCTTATTGGTGGCAGGAAGTGTTGAAGGCAGGAATCAGACTTTTCTTTGGAAAACGCTCGTTGTAAAAATGAGTCTCAAACCAAAGATTCATATATAACCAAAAAGTCATTGTCAGAAGAAAATCGCAGAATAAAAACCATGGATAAAAGCTCTTCAGGCGTCAGTTGAGGTTGAGATGAGGAAGCAGAACGGGGATGTTTCCTACAGATGGGAGAAGAAAGAAAAGAGTCAAAGAAAGTAAAAGAAACCAAGAGTGTCTATCTTTAGTGACAGATACTTATTTCCTATTGAGTGTTGGAAATAAACTTCCAAAATACAGTAAAAGTAAATAAAATGTTAAATATTTTTGACTCCATGCTTGCAAATTGTTTGAACAACTCTAATTATTTCACAGTAGAAATATTTCAAGCCTGACTTGAACCCATCAAAGCTATTTTGCCATTATTTGCTAACATTCAGAGGTTCAAACCCACACAACTGAAGAGAACTTCAGCAATAATAGAAATCACAAATTAATGTGTGTTCCATTTTTGATTTGACGCAATTAAAGGAAAATTGAAAAACATCACTTGTCATTGGAATATGATATGTTTAGAAACGTTACATGGTAGAAAGCACATAAAAACAATTAACACTGAACAGGAACACTCATCGTGTTCAAGTCATATCAGATTATCCGTCTCATCAGAATCTCAGGGACAGAGTTGTTACAGAGGTAGACTGTCTCCTGGACTGTCTCCTGGACTGTCTCCTGGACTGTCTCCTGGACTGTCTCCTGGACTGCCTCCTGGACTGTCTCCTGGACTGTCTCCTGGACTG